GCGCGGCCGGGGGAGGCGGCGGAAAATTGGGGGGGGGGGAGAGGAAAGGCAGGCTTTCAAGATACAGTCATGTCAATTTCAGCTCCAAGAAAGCACCCTAGGCCGATCAGGGAGACCGGGGAGGGGGTTCTCGGAGCTGCGTGGCTCTGCGTCTGGAGAGACTGGCGGGAGTCCGGCACCATTTCCTGGGAAAGGAAGAGAAAATGGTCGGGCTCCGCTTTCGTTTCCTCAAATCCGAACATGTCCTTCATCCTCCAGCACTGCCTGGCGTTAGCGGGACGTGGGTTGTTTATTGACCTGCCTTTGGGAGACATTTCGAGATGCTCCTATCGCGGGGAGAGCTGGGCATTGGTTTTCCTAGGTGTCTGTTAAAACATTTCCTTCCGGATCAGTCTCTACCAACAACTGACAATGAACTAACCTGAGCACGGGAGGAGGGGGGGAACTGGCAGGGTCTGCGAACAGGAGAGCTCGCTCGGTCCTTTTCATTTTATGCGGTTACCTTTTCCCGGTGTGTTTGAAGGCAGAGGTGATCCCCTCCCTCCTCTCCCCTCTTCTCTAAACGCAGTCACATCTCGAGCTGAAGGAGTCACCTTTTTAGGTGCAATCGAGCCTGGCATGAGTTTAGCCCGCTAGGAAACGCTTCCCCTCTCTACACCCAGGGAGAGCGTAGTTTGCACGAAGGTAGCACTCCCCGGGCGAGCCGGCTCGAGGTTTCTCATTTCTCCCCCCTCCACGCACAGGCTGGAGAAAGTATCTCCTTTACTTCGCGCTGTCCGCACTGGGACAGCCCCTTTTCCGCACCCGGAGACAAAAAGAAATCAGAGGTGTAGACAGACACCCAAGTTCAGCTGCAAGGGCAGGGGGTGAGGGCAGGAGCCTGGGGAACTGCTCAATCTCGGGCAGGCAGGAACATTACCGAACGAATAAGGTGGGCTCTAACGGGGAAGGACATCAAAGGCCACCAGCTTCTCTCGCCAATAACTTGGAAGCTCCTTATTTTAATTTTTCGTTCGAAAGGGACCTCCAGCCATTCTGGGCGGCGATGTGAAAACCCGTGTTTGTGTGCATGTGGGCACCCGTACGTCCCCGTGTGCGGGGCTATGTGTATGCGCGCAAAAAAAAAAAAAAAAACCCGCAAAGCCCAAACCAAACCAAAACGGTTTTGAAAAAAAAAAGCACAGGGAAGATATTTAACCTGGCTTGCGGGCACGGTCCTTCGCACAGCCCGATTGTACGGGTAATGCCTCGGGGCTTAAATTTTTTTGAAAGGAAAACGCTATTACTTTTTTGTCGATTTACTCTGTCGAAAAATAAACTTCGTAGCGATCTCGACTTCGCGAATTCGCTCGCCTCGTTTTTATCCGCGCCTTTGAGGCCTAGGGGACTGGGCCCGTCGGTCTGCGAACAGCTACGAGCACTGCTGCTCGGATTTCGGCTGGAGACCACCGCGCAAGCGAGAGGTGCAAGGGGAGTCTGGGTGAGCCTCCTCTGGGGCAGGAAAAACAAAAACAAAAACAAAAACCTGGAAGAGGTGCCTGAGTGAACCTCCTCTGTGCCAAGAAAAAGAAACCACTAACACGGGCATTCAACCATTTGCTCAGATCCTGCTACCCGAGCAAGCGGGGCTTTGGTTCGGTTCGATCTGATTTAAACTCGTTTCTCGAGCAAGGAGGTGAAAAAAGGAGCGGGGGGGTTAGTGGGGGTCCGGTTGAGGACTTGCTATTTTCCACGGGTTATGGGCAAGCAAAGTCACGTTTCGTTCCCCAGGACGCTAGCAGCCCCTCAGAAACCAG